AACTCAAATAGTTATAATGTATGGTATATACATGTACATGTACATGACATGTACATGTAACTACAATAAATGCCCACGCTTGTTTAGATGCCTATGCCACACCCACTTTCCCCACGTGGTTACTGGCACACACTACAGGCAACATAGCAGTTATAGCTGAGAAGGAACCTCATAGAAGAAGACTCCTCGGCAATGAATTTAAATGTCTATCTTCATATAAACACCTACTTCATTTAAACACCCAGGAAACGGGTCTCTATAAGAATAAATCCCTAGGTCCTTCCATGAGGAAATACGGTAATTACACAATATTAATATAATAAACTGATTTATAACTAAACTGCAGGTACTTTTACATTATACAAGTCATACTAATACACTAGTCACTACTTACCCAATCAGGTCTCTTCCAGTTGATATCTGCCCCATTAGAGAGGGCAGAACTCATTCTTTGTATATTTCCATTAAAAGCTGCATCCCATAACTGTCGGTCCTACAGTATTAACAAGTAAATGAGTATATTATTAACAGTTATTATAATAGTAATATTAATCACTCCTATGTCTCATTATCACATAATCTCATTCAAACACAAAATTCACAGAATATGTAACCAGTAACAATAACTGACCATAAACAACACATAAACAATACATGAACATATAAAAACAACTTTTAATGGGAAAATACACAAACAACTAAGCCATTTATTTACATGTACTTATATAACACATGAGAGTATTTATTGACGGTGAGAAATTTTGGAAGAATTGTCTAAATTGATAGGTTGGCTAATTAAATTTTAGAAAATTAATTACATGCAACCAGGCCTGGGGTAATAGTAATATGTAATAGTAATTGTAATAGTAACGATTACAGGGCACCAAGTAATAGTAATAGTAATAGTAATAGAATCTTTGGCAACAGGAAGTAATAGTAATAGTAATAGTAATAATGGTCAAAGTAATATGTAATCTCAATATTACATAGCTATTACTTGCAGTGTTACACTAATGAGTAACACTAGGAAAATAGCAAGTTAGCCAGGAACTATTGCTCACTATTGAGGCTTATTATTGTAAATATAGCAAAGAATTCTGAATTAGAAACTATAAAATGACTTAGATTAACTTCAAAATTAGATTATTTTTATTAATAACCTATAAAAGTTTATGGCGTATTGTAATAGTAATTGTAATAGTAATATACTTTGTTGTAATAGTAATAGTAATAGATTACTTTGAAAAAAGGCTGTAATAGTAATAGTAATATAATAGTTAAAATTTTCAAGTAATAGTAATAGTAATAGATTACATTTATTTGTAATTGACCCCAGGCCTGCATGCAACTCCTAACACCTGGCAGCTAATAATTGACAATAATTTGTGAGTTTCAATTTGGAGTATTGTTGTAATTTAAGGACTTGACAAATTTAATCCCTCACCAATAAATCCTGCAATACAGTACATGTACATGTATATCCTTATAAGGAAAGAGAGTGTCCCTCCTTCTACAAAGAGTGTGTCTGGTGTATTAGTATACATTGAATTATATTTCAGAAGGCTCAGTCTCACATATCAACTGTGTTTGGCCAGTTTTCTTAACTTACAGCTAATTTGTAGTTAAATAACTAATTTTAATAACTTTTGGTCCGCCCATCCGCCCACTTGCCCCACTATATAAGCCCCTGCTTCAGCTATCTTCCTTGTACATAAATACCCAGTGGAAGAGATACAAACTACTACACTACTAGATGAGGGTCCCATTACTGACATTGTTATGATAACACATTATACTATCTACAATACTGGTATTCCTAATTTAGTGGATTTCATGCATCATCTAACACAATTTGTAAATAATTAAATTCCAGGAAATTGAATGATGCTTATTATAATTAATCCTGGCCCAAAAAGGAGGTTTCAATCTTCATAATATACACATGAGGTTATTCAGTGTTTAGTGTACTTAGTTCCACCAGAAGTAAAGCCCACCATACACTGGCAACATGTTGCTTGGAACATTTGTGGTTACTTTGATCTTGTAAGCAACATGTTGCCAAAAATAGAACAGCCTTCTATTTCTGGCAACATGTTGC